AAGCTTAATATCCTAGCTGTTGGAGTTCTACAATGTTTGTGACCATTTAAATCAATATTCCTTACCACTGGGAATATGGCATTTCATGTTACATAGATGACACGTGATTAAACCAAGTCTAGTTAGGAAAAGTGTATTTGATTTGCGTGATCAAGTACGTGAAACAGTTGTATCAAATTAAAACAGCTTCACTTAAATCTCTTTGTGCAATGGTGGATTGATGTGCTTAATACAAACTTAATCTACATGATGATTAGTTGGTTTCACAGAAGATGTGCTAATTAGTTTTTCACCTGCATTTGAGATGCATGACTTGTAAAGAAAAAATGGAATTGTGGTCTAACCCCAAAAGCTAGCTCATGAGGTAAAGAGTGTCCAAGATCATTTAAGGAGACTATAATCCATCCCCTCATCCATATGTGACACTCTAACCCTCCCTGCACGCCAAAAGATCTAGAGCGTGGATAATATAACATGGGAGCCAAATATTGAAAAACACAACAATGGGTAAGAGTGACACTTCGACCATGTTTAGAAAAAATAAATCTTGTATATTAACTTAATCCAAATGCTAGCTCACTAGGTGAGGATTATCTAAGATTATATAAGGAGGCAATGATTTGTTTCCCCTTTCAATGTGGGACATTGTAACATGACTACCATTAAACTTTCTAAGAAGGAACAATAAGGTTAATATGTTAAAATTGCATAACGTTGAATCAAGAGTACAGTGAGAAGTGCCTAAGGCTTTTCTTGAAGATCAAGAGTTGCGGAATTCAAAATTCTGCCGAAACTACTTAAATCAGTTTTTTCATTGTTAAAACTTTTACAGTTGTTCTACTCCAACATAAATCATCTCTCCCAAGAAACTTTATAATGGTTTTTATTTTACTTAGATCCAATGAAAAGTTGTAATTATACATATCATGTTTCCTACAGCTGGACAGGAGAGGTTCAGGACACTGACAAGCTCCTATTACAGAGGTGCTCAGGGGATCATTCTTGGTAAGTACTTTTATGTACTTTTTATGTAGTTTCCAAATATGTAACTTTTATTTTAAAAAATTTAATAAATCTGTGCCGGAATTCACTCCAAAAATTAAGTACTTCGTCTCTCGTACTTTGAAGTTTGAACCTTGCCACATGAAGTGGAATGGAAGGAGCAAGTGAATTGATGCATTTTCATATCTTGCAAGAGAAGATACATTCATTGTTGATAATGCATCTATGAGTTAGCTATGGTTGGACTTTTGTTATTACATCATTCAACTTCATAGCAGTTTAACGCCATTCTGCTTTTTCCATCATGATAGAACAACGCATAATTAAGGGTCACTTGTAATAGTAATCTATAAATGTTAGCATCTGCTATAGTTGTCAAGGTTGGAATATACTGATGCAATTTTCTTTCAGGGATTACATTTGACATTCATTCATTTGCTTTTTATGTTTTGTGGGCTTTACATTTATAGCCACATTCATACTTTTTCTTTTGATAAGCCGTTTCCATTAGTCAATCGTTCACAACTTTTATTTGTGATCCATCAGCCACATTCATATTTGTTTATGGCATGTTCAAGAGTTAAATAGTTTTTCTTGATAATACTGGTGAAAGTTCACAATTTTTTTTTTCCTAAGCTTCTTCTCTTAGATAATGTCAATCTAAGCGCTATCCATTCTTGTAAATGACATGCTACAGTATGAAACTTTGATCAGATCTTGATGGAAATTGACAAGCACACTTAAGTTGAACATTTTGATTTTAAAAAAGGGCAGCCTAGTGCACTAAGCTCTCGTTACACACGGAATCCGGGAAGGGCTAGACCTATTGGGTCTATTGTTTGCAGCTTTACCTTTACATTTATTTAAGTGTTGCTTCCACGGCTTGAATCCCTGAACTTTTGATCACACAACGTCAACTTTTACCGCTCTGCCAAAGCTCCTTTTCATTGAACAGTTTGATTAAACCTCCAATGAATCTGCTTCCAATGATAAATTTCCATGATACACTATCTTCTGTAGTCTTTTTCTGGTTGCTGTAGTTCTATCTGCCTAGAATAGTAACCAAGCATCCCAATCTGTTGTTTTTATGACAACACTGTAGAACTTCCTTGTGATATTTTTGCTGACTATTGCCTCAGTCCCTTCTGACTGGCCCTCTGCAGAGCAACGAACTGCAAATATTTGATAACATCCGGGTTGATAGGGTTTGTCTATATTTCTATCTTTGACAGCTCTCCGATCTCCATTAATTGAATAAGGTTTGTAGGTTGACTGGTCGCAAATGTTCAAATTCAAAAAGGCGTCCATGTAGTGTTCCTTTATAAAAAGCATTTATCTGTGCTTTCTTTGTTGACATATTGCTACAGTCCTTGTAGATGCTTTGTCTCCTCCAGATTCTTAAATGCATTTCTAACTATTATGTTTACAATTGCTTTTTTAAATTTTGTTTACAGTCTATGATGTAACAAGAAGAGAGACCTTCACAAACCTGTCTGATGTGTGGGCAAAAGAGGTGGAGTTGTATAGTAATAATCAGGATTGCGTAAAGATGCTGGTCGGAAATAAAGTTGACAAAGTATGTTCTTCGCAAAAGTTAATGTGCTTGTGTGTGTCTCTCTCTTCTAACTTTTTTTTCCTGATAAGTGCTCTCTTCATTTTTGCTTCTTGAATGTTTGGAGATATTATTTCAAGGAAAAAACAAGTAAATTAAGATGTTGATATCACCTCTTCAAATGCAGTATACTTTATCTTGTTGTGGAGTTTGGGATCTGGGAACTTGCATAATGCTTATAACAAGAAATGAAAACTATGATTAGGGGATTTTCTTTCTGCCTTTGCAAATAGTGGTATTGCAGCTGCAACAATTTAATATGTTAAAGCAAATAATGAAGCTATGTGTGACCTCAATATAAAGGGGTTCGAAAAAAAAGATAAAGAATACGTGTCCTAAATATAAGAGGGAACAATATCAAGAAGGATACTCATAAATCATAACAAGTCAGGTGCAATGAGTTCCAGAGTTAGAGGGTGACTTTGGGTAACTCTTTGAGAATATATGCTTCAGGAAATGTATTATCCATCTTACTTTGTCGTATTCTGTTTATCATCCACATTTCCTTTACCAGTAGGGTCATTAGGCTTCCTGGTTGCAGCTTTTGCTTTATGCGGGAACATCTGTTAACATTTATCTTTATTTCTCTTCATAAAAACATTTATCTTTATTTTCTTTAGCATGTATGTTAAAGTTGCAGTCCATTAATTGATGCATGAATAAATTCTACATGAGGTTTGTAAACCAACTATATTCTTACTTTGCTATTGGGTTATCAGGAATCTGAGAGAGCTGTGACCAGGGAAGAAGGCATTGCCCTAGCAAAGGAGCTTGGAAGTCTGTTTCTTGAATGTAGTGCTAAAACTCGAGAAAATGTGCAACACTGCTTTGAAGAGCTTGCCTTAAAGGTAAATTATACATTCATGACTACTCTGTCGGTTTCACTAGACATGTTGTCAAAGTTAGTCTTATGCAAAGTAACATGGTCCGGTGGTTAATCTTTTTTTATTGGTAAAAAGGGAAAAGAAAAAGCAGCCGATCATGTTACTTTGCATATGATGCTGGTTGTTAATATAACATTATTTTGTAGATGCATCTAGTTGACCTTTTTAGATCAAAAACCTTCATAACATATTATCCTGATGGTGGTATCTGGCAGCAGCTTTTACTTTCATTGTTTTTGGCGTAAGATTTCCCAAGCACATCTACTTTATGCTGTACGTGAAATCTGTCTTGCTTCCAATCGTAATTTACATTTATATTTCCCCTTGTTTGATGCATAAGGGACAATGTATTGCCTTTATAATATCAGTCAGTAGATAAGTGCAATTCCGAAGGTACATCATCCCTTAGGTACTGAGAGTATTACTCTTCGACTCTCAAGATCAAGAAACATTACAGCCAATTGTTTCTTACCTGGTTGACTTAAACTCCTTGACTTTCAAGATTGAGAAACATCGCAGTCCAGCAGTTCTGGTCTGGTTGATTTAAAACCGATTCTTTTGCTCAACTCACATCTCTTAGGGATTAACTTTTTGATTGATTTTCTAACTAGAATACTGTATTCAGATAATGGAGGTACCTAGTCTACTGGAAGAAGGATCCACTGTAGGCAAGAGAAATATCTTGAAACAGAAACAAGAACAGAATACACAACTGGGTGGTGGTTGCTGCTCATGAAACTCTTCAAAATAGGACCAAAAAAAATGACAGACATCAAAACTGTGAACTAGATGGAGCTGAAAAGTCACAGTTAATCAAATATGTATATGATGTTTTCTTTTCTCCTTGCTGTTGTTATCCTGCTGCTTTGAAAATGGTTTAGAAGTCTAATGTAAAGTAATTGGTCGATTTGGTTATTGGCCAATGTTCTTGTTAATATTTGCCAGATTGCTGTCAAATTGGGCGTGTTTCATAATTTTATGTGCATTTCATCACTAATTATCTTTGAGAATCAGCATATAACATTGCACTATCCACTCTATGTTTTTCCTTTTCTTTGTACATCTCCAATACGATGCAATATCAGAATGTTTAAAAGATACTTGAGATTTGCAAACCAAGATCTGCTCAGGGTCTAACTCGATCTCCCCCAGTATTAAGTCAACTGTCCAAGACCTTATGGTTAAAACTAGAATAAGTTCTTGCGGAAATATAAATCCCAACTAGTTATAGAATTTAAAGTAAAAGGAAAACTGCTCTAAGAGAAATAGCCAAACACATTTGGGTTTTCTAAACATTTTAGAGATGCTTATGGGACATTTAAGAAAATGGGATCTTCTAAGTGAGAAGAGTTAAATGAAATTTTGATTTCCACAAAATTGGTTGCTGTTGTAGATGTATGTACTGATACTCAAAATTCTGACTGCAAAAATATTCCTATGAGACTGGGGAGTGTGTGTGTGGGGGGAGCACCAGACCTCCTGCACAGACTGCTCAACTCAGATTAGAAATGTACCGCCTATTATATCATTCTAGTTGATAAATCATTGACAACCACTTCAAAACATGAAAATTTCTCACCCTGCAATCTCATTTTATGGAGTATTGCAACTTTCAGGAGCACTTTTGTCACCTATTGCTACATACTTCACAAGTTCCAAAGAGGAAGTTCCGACAAAATCTTGGTACTTATAAAACAGGGTAAACATATTGGTGAAAGCCAAGTGCCCCAATTTTCTGTACGAAGGCCTAACGGCCAAGTTCAGCATTTATAGCTTCTTGTAAGATTCTGCAAACTTCACTTTCAGGCTCAACAAGCTCAGAAGGCATCTGCAATAATCACATGTCAAACAAGCCATATTGAATTAATCAGACATAAAAAAGAATCATTTAATTGATAATTTCAATTTATATAAATGCCGTGTTAGCTGCTAACCCTTCCATATAAATTTCTCGTCATAGCAGAAGCACCAGAAGCTAACAATAATTTGATAACATCTACATGTTCACCTCTGGCAGCATGATGGAGAGGCTACCAAAATTAAACAAAACCAATCAGTACAAGATGCTGTAAGAAATATAATTGAAGAGCTATTTAACTACCGCAGCTATTTTATTTTTCAATTTCCAAGATTTAGGTCAACAAAAGTTGAAATTTTGCATAATGAAATTTTAGTAGAGATGCCTCACCGCATCACCTTCTTCATCAAAGGACTCCATCATCCTCTTCACACATTCAGGGTCAGGGGCACCGTTTATTAGCAGACGGACTATTTCCGTGTATCCTGTTAAAAAGTCAAGCATTCAGAAAGTAAGCAATGCGAGCCTATGCTTTCCATTTTTACTGAACCAACACTATACCGTTAGCCCACTTACTTCCTAGAAAGGCTTGGGTTAAGGCAGTTGGTTTACTTGCTGCCTGACAAATTAGGTCACAACTTAGGGGTGGCAAACGGGCTGGTCGGGTCGGATATGGGACGGGTCAAAAGCGGGCAATGAAAAACGGATAAATTATCCGACCCGACCCATATTAATACGGATAAAAAACGGGTTAACCGACAAATAATATGAGTCCATGACTTCTTGAATAAGATCACTTTTGGGAGAATTCCTAATCTCCCAAACTTGAGGAACCCCCAATTTGAGGCTTTATAAATGTAAAAGTTAAACCCATTGGTTATCCATATTCTAAATGGATAATATGGTTCTTATCCATATTTGACCCGTTTCTAAAAGGTTCATTATCCAACCCATTTTTAGTGGATAATATGGGTGGTTAACTATTTTCTTTTAACCATTTTGCCACCACTATCACAGCTTAAGATTAATTGAGTGCTTAATTTACTAGTTTATTAATCATAGAATTCAAGTGTACCATCTCTTCAAGGTAAAAAGATTAATATAGTTCACGGATATGACAGTTTAGGGATTGGAACTTGCAACCATATGTATACCTCCAGCACAAGCATCATGCAACGGAAGTGCTCCATCTTCATCCTTAGCCTCCACAGAAGCTCCCCTCTCTAACAGTAGCTGGGTAGAAATACAAAATTATATTAGTTTTAGTCCAAAACATGATACTGAAATCAAGACCAGCAGATCCATCAAAATGAGATAACGTCTGCCACAGGGACGATTGAGCATAGCTGAGTGGACCAACCTCCACACAAGCCAGATGGCCATACAGACAAGTTAGATGAAGAGCAGTGTCCCCATCTTCTAGAGGTTCGTCAATGTTCCCGTTAAAATTATCTGCAGCAATCCATCAAGTGTGTAATACATGAGTATGACACAGACATGGATAACAAGGTAGTAGGTACATAGAACAACTCATATTTTGATAGGTAAGATAACACAGAACAGCTTAGTTACTTCTCTCAAAAGACAGGGGTGACTAGAAACCCACCATAAATAACAAGCACAAAAATCAATTTTATTAGATAAGGCGAGAGATGAAATAAGAATGATATTCCAACCTTGTCTGAGGGATCTCAGAGATTCAGACAACATGGTGAACCAACCTTGTCTGAGGGATCTCAGAGATTCAGACAACATGGTGAATCTCTTCGAGACCAACCTCTACGACACAGCCAATATTCATACTTGTTTGTATGACATCCCTTCATCTCAACCACCAAGCCACATACCCAAGAAACTTTATTTTTTTCTCTGAAACAATAGGAACTTTCAATTCTGAGCTCTACGTCATAATAATCAGGTATGAAATTCCATGAGGATTTTAAAGGCATCCTGCATTTGTCCTTACAAATGCCAAGGAACAACCACACAAACACGTGCTCTATCTCACCCATTTATCAACATGGTGTCTGTGCCTGTGTTGTTCAATTGTGTAAGACATAGCAACAAGTAACAAGGGATACAATGGCCATTGCTGGACATGCTTGGAAATCATGCGAAGCAATCATCAGTGCCATGAGACTGAAATCTCACATTTGGTAGTTGGTATTGAATTCTCTTCCATTTCTTTCATTTATAGCTCTTGTTATTCTCAATCTGAAAGTTCAATATTTTATTACTCCCACCCCGCACCCCGTATCAATGGTAGTTCCTCACAAACCCTAGGGAGACTCAAACTCCTGACTTACTGGTTGGAAGTGGAGTAGTCTTGCTAATTGAGCCAACTCAATGTTTCTTTTGGAAGAAAATTCACTCATACTACCTTCATTGGGATCAAGAACAACCAATTTTACCTAAAATGGCTCCAAAAGTAGAAAAAGGTACAATCTTTTTGTTTTGTTAATGATAGGTAAAGGAAAATACATGGACTAGGTCTCATTATTTGAACATTCAACTAACAAATCCATGTCTTTCGTTTTTTCCCCCATAAATGAACCAATTATATTTGACCTACCTAGGGCAAGGCGAAAGGCGTTGATTTCACCGCGTTCGGCGGCGTTGAAAAGTTCACGGAGGTGAAGAGGGATGTGAGAGTCGGAGGGGTCCTCCTCCAACTCCAATTCCTCCTCTTCGAACAAACCGCCTTCGTCTTCTTCTTCCCCCATCATTCCGTTACGTCCCCTTTGTACTGCCATTTTTATTTCTCTCTCTTCTCCTCTTTGTGTTCTGATTTTGTGGACTCCAAAACCCTGCTACTTTGCTCCCTTAAACCCCTGCGCCCTGCCTATATATGATTTTATTTCTAAAAACAATAAAAATAGATATGCCTCAAAGCGTAAACTAAAAATGCGTAATTTTGTGATTGATTAATTTGTCTCTTCTTATGAATATGATTATTTGTTATAATTTGGTTCGGTTTATTATTCAACTTTAAAATTTTTAGAGAAATTTTAATATCAAATTAATTAAAGAAAATAGGTTCAAATATTTTCATGAACTATCCGACATTTATAAATTTTGCCACTCATTGTACTTGTGGTCCATTTATACCTTTGTTTTTAGAAAATTGGCTCGTATTTAACACTATCATTTAGGGGTGTACATAAGTCGAGTTGATTCAGATTTTTCAATTACCAAAACCAAATCAATGGTGTTGGCTTTTTACATCTATAAATCAAACAAATAAAGTTAGATTTTTCAATCTCGATTTTTGTTTTCGGGTTTTCGATTTTTTCCGGTAAAGTCTTCATAGTGTAAATATGTAATTTGTGCTCCAAATATTTCTTTAGTTCTAGTAAGATACAACTATATAATACATTTTTTAAGAAAATAATACAATAATATGAGATAAGTCATAGCATTATACTAAAGAGAGCTGCAATTTGACCACACTCATAATGGCCCAACAATGGCCACACCCGTGAAATACCCTTAAAACCCTTGATTTCATATTTAGCTTAACATTCATTATTTCCCTCCAAAATATTTCCCTCCCAAACAAACTAATAACTATTGATAATCCCAAAATATTGATCTCATAAAATCATCATTTTCTCATGGGAAGATCAAAAGCCTTCGTATGTATATGTATACTGCTATGTTTTTTTTAAAATAAAATTTATACGGATGGGAAGATCAAAAAACTTCGTATGTATACATATATTATTTTTCGAAAATTTATACGGTATATAAATTCGAGTAACCTTGTTATACCATACACATATGATAAGAGAGCTTTCATTAAACACATAATTCACCACCCTTCCCTTAATCTAAACATGAATGCTAACAAGAAACTAGTTTGGAGCCATTAAACTTGAATAACAACCTAGAAACTAGGTCAAAGCAACTAAGGAATGCATTACACATATCTTGAGGGTTGAATTCGGACGACAGTTTGATGAATGAAGATGAGTGGGTAAACATTGATTCATACATCAACTTCAATGATGGAGAAGATCATGTTGACGATGTTGTTGTTGTTGCTGCTGATGATGATGATGACGACGATGACGACAACCATTATTTAGAGGAAGGGGGAGAATGTGGAGAGGACAGGAAAATGTCTAATGAGTTCAATGAAGAAGATCTAGTAATATGTCCAATTATTGGAATGAGGTACAGTAATAAGGATGTTATGTTTGTTTTTTACAAAGAACATGCAAGATTATCAGGGTTTTGAATTGTCAAAAGAACATCAAACAAAAAGATGGTGATATTGTAAGGTATGTGCAATATGGTTGTGATAGGTCTAGAAAACCAAGGAATAAGGATGTTACCAAGAGGAGGAACTGCCATGCTAGAACAAATGGAATTTTGGAGGAGAATGGTTAATGGTGTATTTAAAGGTGGTTAAAAAGCATAATCATCAATTGAAACCAACATTATCCGATTGATGGCTGGACACAAGTCGCTTAGTAAGTCTCTAAAGAGAGCTCTTATAGCCAAAGATATTGATGTCTTAAGACCCTAAAAAAATATATGAGTCGCTGGAGTACTTGCTGGTGGCCCCGAAAATCAAGGTTGTACACCAAAGGACTATAGAAATTATATTTTGAAGAGTAGAAAGCTTTAACTGCAAGAAGGTGTAACGACCTGACCGATCGTTTCAAGCATTTGCACTTCGCTAGGTAGTTTGAGGGCATGAGTAGCTCCATATGATGTATTATGACTTATGTGAATCATCGGTTTTGGTTTTCAGGTTATTCGGAATCGATTTGGAAGAATGAACTTCATGATTGAAGCTTTAAGTTGGAAGAGTTGACCAAGTTTAACTTTTGTGTATTTGACCCCGGATCAGAGTTTTGATGGTTTTATTAGGTCCGGATGGTGATTTTGGACTTGGGCGTATTCCCGAATTTGCATTTGGATGTTTCTTGAAGGTTCTAGCGTTAATTGGCGAAAGTTGGCAATTTGGAGTTTTGGAATGTTCATAAGTTTGACCGGAAGTTGACTTTGATGATATTGGGTTTGAATTTTGGTTCCTGGAGTTGGAATATCTTCGTTATGTCATTTGAAACTTGTGTGCAAAATTTGAGGTCATTCCGAGTTGATTTGATATGGTTCGGCACGAGTTTTGAAAGTTGAAAGTTCAAAAGTTTATTAAGTTTGATTTGAGGTACGATTCACGATTTTTATGTTGTTTGATATGATTTGAAGCTTCGAATAACTTCGTATCGTGTTTCAAGAATTTTTGGTATGATTGAATGGGGTCCCGAGGGGCTCGGGTGTGTTTTGGATCATTGGTTGAGAAACTAGTTAAGTTAATGATTTGGAGTTTGACCATGGTCAATATCGGGTCAAGATGACCTCTTTTCAGTATTTTGAGTGCACGAGCATGTTCGTAGCGTATTTTATAATTGAAGAACATATAAGGTTTGTATGTGAGAGGTTCCGAATGAGTTTTGGGTGCTAAAATGAAAATTCTTCCGTTGCTGATTTTCTGGTGTAAAATAATTACGAAAATGTCATTTTTGTCTCTTAAATTTCTAGACTCCATTTAAAACTTCAAAACATCATATCTCCCTCATTTTAAGGCAAAATTGGGTGATTCGAAAGCCTAACTTAACTGCAATTTCACAAGAAATCTATTGGAGGCATCAAAAGCGACTTTAGGGATCGTTTGGCACACAAAATGAGGTAAAACAGCTGGACAAAAAATATTTAATATCGAGGGTTTATTCATTTGGTCATATTTTGAGTTGGGGAGCTCGGATTTGGGCAATGTTTGAGGCAATTTCCCCATATGAATTGGAGTAAGTGTTTTCTACTCGGTTTTGATTATATTTCGTGATTATATCTTCGTTGTTGGTAATTGGATTATGAATTATAAAGAGAAAATTGAGAATTTTAGTCTAAAGTTTCATAGAGTGAGTTTTTGAGTTTGAACATCGATCGAGAGTCGGATTTGAGTGAAACTAGTATGGATGGACTCGTAATTGAATGGATTATCAGATTTTTTTAAGTTTCATCAGGTTCCGAGGCGGTTTGGTTGATTTTGGGATTTTGATTAAAGATTCGACCTTTATCGATTGAGTTTGTTTCTTTTGGTATTATTTGATGTATTTGAGTTGCTTTTGGTTAGTTTCGAGCCGTTCGGAGGTCGATACATGTAGGATGACATTTTGGAGTATCGTTTGGCTTGCTTGGTATTGGATTTGGCTTGTTCGAGGTAAGTAACACTTCTAAACTTGGAGCTGAGGGTATGAACCCTGATTATATGTGTTATGTGTTTGGTGTCTAGGTGGCGCACATGCTAGGTGACGGGCGTGTGGGCGTGCACCATATGAATTGTGACTCGGTTATTTCTGTGGTACTGTGTAGTTACCTAATCTTATTTGTATCTATGAAATCTCTGCGTGCTAGAGTAATTAAGATGTGATCTATGTTAGAAACTATGTCTAGGCTATATGCTTATCCTGTTGGGACCCGCTGAGGTCATTTATGTTGTTGAGTTATTTGCTTACATTGCAATTATATACTCAGTCATACGCATTCAGTTGCATATCATATCTCAGTCTTTGTTACCATTTATTGATATATCACATCATCATGTTGGGCTGATTTTCATGACATTGTGAGCCCGAGAGACTGGAGAGATTGATGACTGAGTGAGGCCAAGGGACTGATGGTGAGGATTTATGATGGGATCGGGTTGCACGCCGCAACATGTTGTATTGATTTATTCCATGATTGGCTTGTTATAACGCTTGGGCTGAAGGAGCCCCTCCAAAGTCTGTACACACCCCTAGTGAGCGCAGGTACCTACTGAGTGCGAGTGCCGAACAATTGGGAGGATTGAGTGATTGTGAGGACTGAATGATTGGGAAGACTGAGTGAATTGATAATCTGAGAGTATGCATATGGTTTTATCATTGAGTTGCATTGCATTCGACATGCACACTTGACATACAAGCATAAAGATACATTTTCTTCATGTTGTACGACATTGCGTCATTCATGACTTCACATACACATTGAAATGTAGGCATAGAGATGTACTTTCCTCATACTATTTGAAAATGAAACATTTACTTGTTGAAAGTTTTGGAAAAAATCACGGTTTTACAAACGTACTCATATTTTGGTGATTTCGATAAAAGATTTGGGTTTTCACTGATATACTTGAAAAACATGCCTATTTTCTGTAACTGTGAACCAGCTAAATTATTTCATGTACCATCTTTATCATATTGCTATGAATTGTTGCTGGTTATTGGAGTTGGACCCTGACCCTTGTCCCAGCTCGTCACTACTTTCAACCTAAGGTTAGGTTTGTTACATATTGAGTACATGGGGTCGGTTGTACTCATACTACACTTCTGTACCTTGCGTACAGATGTTGGATGTTGATGTTGCTGTGATCGAGAGGAGCTAGATTTGAAGTCGTACCGTGTTCCGGTGGTAGCTGCCTCTTGTTCATGGTAGCCTTAGATTTATAAAAAAAAAATTATGT